TTTTTTTATCATACTCCTAGCCCAGTTACGTCGCGCCAGTTTGTGCCTCGCCTTGAGCATTGGAGTGCAGTTGCGCTTGCTGTAGCCTATGTGCGAAGTATGCTGAAGTACTCTTCGCACAGTTCGGGGTGATACTTTAAGCCCCAACGATGTTTTCATGGAGTTTGATGACACTCCGGCCTTTTTGGCCTCGAGGGCGATGTGCCGCTTGGTCCTTTCGCGCACCTTCGTGGGACTCCCCGACCTCTTGACCGTTCCATAAGTGTCTCGGTTCCTCCAGAACTTACTCACACCTGCTGGCGACCTCCATATATGCTCAGCAATTGCAGAAAACGCCCAACCTGCTTCGCGAAGTCCACAAATCTTGCCTCTTTCTACAGGTGTGCACTCCGAGCCCTTGGGCATAGTTACGGTGTGGCCAGGATTACAAAAAAAAGTGGTTGTCTTCTATACACCCGTGGCTACGATTTGCGGTCTGTTAGAAGCTCTAGAACCTTCTTGAAGACCCACAATCTTGCGAAGTTCACGCTGCTACGTACTTTTGTCCAGGGTCAGAATGATGGTCACTTCTCGTTCTCCGCAACGAGGAATCGTCTGTGACTAAAAAAAACGGTATGCACAGGTAGCGTTTTGTCTCAGTAGCGTTTCTACGCCGTTTTAGGGTAATTCGCTGAGAATTGACGTAAATATTTGAGAAATAGTGATGGCTACATATTTTTGGCCACCTCTGTACTAGATTAGCTCAACATTCAGCTTACTGGGGCGCGCGGGTCTCTTAGCGGAGATATTGGTATCGCCTCATATTAATGTGAGGGCCGGTCAATATCTACAAGACCTAAATTTCCGAATCTCATCATGCGGGCGCTTTGCCTCAGTATTCAATTTTCAAGCAAGCGAAAACGCTTGTGTTGATGGAGGACGACGATCCATTTGCCGAGATTGATACTTTGCTCGCAGAGCAAAGTATCCCCGGGCTGCCCCCCCCCCGATGATTCACGTGCGCGATGTTCGCTCTTTCGTCGAAGCTAACAAACCCAAAGTAGCAGATTCAGTTCGAGTGCGATTGTGTGTCAACTCGATTGAAGAGGCTCCAATGCTTTGGCGGCTTAACTGTGTCGACGCTGGATTTGTGGATCGCAGAGATGAGCTGAAGGGACGCATCGGCACCACGGATCGGAACGATCGCAATCAAATTATGTTC